AGTGCTTACTGCTGATATTTTGTGGAAGCAGATCTCAGGAATTGTCGATTATCGGGAGGAAAATAGCAATACAACACACCTGTTCGACAATCTGCACAATTCCTGATCCGCAGCCTTTCGAAACCCCTACTAACACCTGAACCATATAGGATTCTGAATATAACTTCGTTGCATAAGCGACACCATGAGATATCTGAAAACATATTCATTCTACCAAAAATTGTAGTTCATGATCATCAAATCCAACAACGCTAGCTGGGTTCACACGCTGGGAAATTAGAAAACAGGAAAATTTGAGAATTTGCGAAAATAAGCACACTTTGAACAGGAAGAGGCGCCGAACGTCTTGGTGGGCGCACCGAAGGTACTCAGCTAGCTTAAACAGGTCAGCATGCGAAGACCTGCAACCTGCCGAAAACAAAGTGGCTTACTCAGCAATTTCGCGGCGTCGCAGGAATTTACAAGTTTGACCAAAAAGGGAATCTAGTTGACAAGTACTAACAAAAGGAACTAGCTGAAGTACAAAATGCCCCCTCCAAGCCGATCAACGCTCAGGAGAATCAAAAAGAAAGACTAGAAACGTAACGATTGAAGTTGGTCTTCACCACAGAGTCACAAGGCATGAACGCGATACCTGTAATGGTGGACTCAAAACAAAATCAAAGCTGATGGAATCCAAGAAATCCCAGCAGAAATAGAAAGGAAAAAAGGCAGAAATGTTGCCGAATGTGATGTCTTGGTTCTACTGCTTCGTTAGCAAAACTTTCAGAAGGCAAAACGAAAATGGAAACAAGCTAAAAATTACCTTATGAGCTCGCTGCACTTCTTTGGCAATGCATACTAAAACTTTCACTAGCTTGAAGCCGATTATCTTATGAACTAAATCGAAGGGTGAGTAAAAGACCGAATACCATACGATGGAAGCCTGAAAGGTGTGTGTAAAGATCACCCTCTTTCCCAAGATCGATATCCCAAAGACGAAGAGGGCGTAGCTTCAGGCCTCATTTGCACATGGCTCTGGCCGCGTTTCTGAATCACGTCGACTTTGTCGGATGCAACCTGTTTCGGTCCAGCACGACAGAGGACCACAGTTGCCTCAAATGAAAACTTCCCACGAGGAAGGTGTCCGACTCTATCTTCAAATTAAGTATGCTGCCACGCCCTTTCCATCTTTAGGATATGACGTCCGCAAGATCATAGAACTTTTGCATCATTTCCAGAAAAAAAAAGGGCAGTGAAACCAACCAAAACAACATCGTCATGCCTTCGAAATGGAGTTATAACAGGTTCGCCAAGTAGAAAACATCCAAGAAGCCCACCAGCAAAGCACATTAACATGGAAGACAACCAACAAGAGAATGGATGACGTCGTGAAAATGCCAGTGCGGTCACTCCCAACTCCTGACGTACCTGTTCGCACATCTAAAAACGAAATTTTTTTTTGGAACTCTATCGGGCACGGAGATTATATAGTGTACTTCATTGCGTACACCGCGCCAAACTCGTTTTCCACGAGTTGTTCAAGCGAGCAAATGACAATACTGTATCATACCTTTCGTATTACTTGTTTTCTACTGCTTTTTGTCGCATGCCCGTTTCAACAAGAAGGCAGAGAACAGCTCAAAGAGGGTGACACACTCATACTGGCTGACACGCCCAACCGTCCGCAGCGAATTAGAGTGTATTTGTTATATTCTCCTTCTAGTGAAGACAGGCCTTGCTAGGATAAATCCATACTCTGCCACCCTTTAGAATGAGAGAATGACAGAACGCGGACCAAAGGAAAGACAGGAATTGTATGACTCTGCTTACAAACGAAGTGGGAGAGCAGGAGTACGGGAAATTTGGAGTATGCGAGAGAGAGAGAGAGAGAGAGAGAGAGAGAGAGAGAGAGAGAGAGGAAAGGAGAATAGGACTGGAGTCAACCTAGCTCAATACAGTCCTTTGCTGCTAATTCTCCAATTCTCCTGATTCTGCCAATTCGCCATATTGATACTTACAGTTTCCCTTGCGTGAAACTTCTATTCCTTAGTGTGTCAATGATGAACGAGACCCTACGAGCTATCAGAAGGCAATAATGTAGCGATTGAAGAATGCTGTCCGCTCAGTATATAAGTAACTATATACTTACTCGAACTATAACAAAAGCATAACGGCTAAAGACATAGCCGTTGATTAATTCCGATACTGCGCGCTGTGCGCATTCTACGTCAATTAAGAATTGTAGTGGTTTATTGAATGTGATGTGGCTTCTGAAATGACCTGTGGGGGGCGGGGGGAGCACTCAATGACACTTCTTCCGGTCAGAATATAAAAGCATTTGACTTAAGCTTCTCAGTTCAGTGTAAAACAAATGGTTTCATCCCCCATAAACTTTTATTGTTGCGAAAGTTGAACGACCGCAAGGTATGAGGCCGAGGTGGTCTAGATGGTATTAAACTCTGACTTCAGATCAAGCACGTCGTGAGCGGCGCCACTTGCCATCACCACAGCTCCCCTTAAATACCAACGTCTGACTACAAAAACTTAGATGAGTCAGAAAATGCCACAAAGTGATCCTTCAAAGGCCTTCCCAGTCGTAGTCGTATGTGAAAGCGTCACTTTGAAAGGAGAATGGAACATTCAAAAACGCTTGGAGCGATCGCTCCCCCCCCCCCTTAAACTGTACAGATTTCAGTGGGAGAACTAGATATCTTCATTAGAAAGAAAAGTAATACGTGGATGTTGCTCGTGTTTAAGTGCAGTATCTAAATCCCACAGATATGAAAGAATTGATTTATACGTTTTACTGTGGTATCATGAATCTATCCAACGGCAAAAACATTCTTTGAACGTTTTACGTAAGGCGGTAACCCGACACCGCACTTTTGTTGTCACTTGTCCCGCAAATTCGAAAAGCGTATATTCAGCGCACGTAACAACTCTATCGCAAATACATTCCACAGCAAACCACATGTTTTCCGTACGCTCCTGGGTCCTTTGGGGTGACAGGTCTTTTCAAAAAAAACTGTCTCGAGAAAAGCCTCAGGCAAAGTTCTTCAAGCTGAAGTTCTGCAGCCTGGTCAGACACTCATTTCGAATTTCTTGATTGCCAAATCCGTTATAGTCAGAGTGATGTGCAGAATAAGAACTCAAGCAAGTCCAACTACATATAGCATAGGATATGCTATGTAGGATTGTAATAAAAGAATTTACTAGCACGCAGTGTAAAGATCAAGTGACCGAGAAATAAGGTGAACAAAATTCACAGCGAAAGGAAGCAGTTGGGTAACCCCCTCAGCCCAATCAAGAAAGGTTACAAGGCACACCGCAGCGCCTTTGCCACCTTCCTCTAACCAAGGCTTCGGTTGAGCGGAGACTTTGCGCATCTGCTTCTGTGAGACTATCCCCTGGCGATTCTGTCTGCGCCAGGCTGTCAAAGCTACCCTAAAAAAGCTAACAATATTCGTTCGCTGTAAGCAAGCGTGTGTGTCATGTCAGTTTGCTTTTTTCTCCTAGCATGATCGATCAGAGGCTCTCTCCTGGCATGATCGATCAGAGGCTCTAGAAGTTACTGCAAAATACATCAATGAAGTCCTCCATTTAAACTGCAGGAATATTTTGTCCAATTTCTTCACTTAGTCAATTCCAAATCCAAACTTTCTTACTTGAGACAGTAAAAGCGAGTACACGAAACAAGATAACGACTCTGTTCCATCATTACTACTCCGAGAACACGAAAAAAATCCGCTCAACCTACAATTAATATGTTGAATTAGATGTTTTAAGGTGTGCTGATCACGAATATGACATACATTTTTGGAGCTGGCGTCACCACGTTTGTCACCATGATCGATGCAAATTTTTTATACGGGGTTATTCGACATCCTGATCACGAATATGACATCCGTTTTTGCCCCTAGCATTTGGCGTCGAACAGCGCCGATTTGGCATTTTTCACCGAAATCGATGAAAACCTGCATAATGGGGTTGAGTGGCACCCTGATAATAAAACTGACGTTCATTTTTTGACAGCAGCCAAACTTAAGGTTCTGCTAAGGCTCAGGGTGTCTCCCCCCACCCCAATGATTCCCTTCCTTCCATGTTCAGCCTTACCAAAGCGCAGATGATTAGAGCGCCCTGCGTTGGCGCCTCGTCAAGAATGAATGCCATATTCGTGATCAGGATGTCGAATAGCCCCCTGTATAAGTTGTCATGAATTTTGGTGAGGTAGCTGGTGGCGCCACATGTTAGCACTAATTGAATACCACATCCGTGATTGGGACACTGAATAACCGCTGCGGGCGAAGTTTCAGCAAGAATTTTTCGGGTTTTAGGGTTGTAATAGTGGAATAGTGCCGAAAGAGCTTCTGAGAATAAGGATCAGAAAATGTTAGAAGCTTGAACTCACCAGCAAGTAATGAGCAATATCAAAATACGGATACATCCGCAGCTTTTGGAGCGCTCCACCTGCACTTATGAGGCTGTCATGATCCATTTCCCAGTCCAACGACCACATTCCGACAACCTGCACAAAAGTACACCATATGTCAGGTGACGAGGAAAAAGTACAAGAAAAAATAACGGCAAATGACACGACGTTGATATCTCTTCTGAGCATTCACATCTCTTTCAATTCGTTTCGATTTCAATTTCGTTTTAATAATGTTAGAACTTGCTAAATGAAACTTCTGTGGACAACAAGAGAGGAATGCCTCATCGACCAGCGTAAAACGATGAAAAGACCGCAAAAGTGGAGAAGAAATACGAAATCTCGGAATCGGATAAAGTGCGAGATGACGCAATCGCTCGCGTGGTGTAATGTCAATGTGCTTGTTTGCTCTGTGGTGCAACTAATGTCTGAGAACATTCGCACTACGCAGCGGTAGGTAAATTTTTTTAAATTATTGGATCAATCAGCTTGGAATGGCTTGCAATTGTCAATCACCTTCAGATCAGATCATCCTTAACACAAATATTACATCTGCTCGGCGCAAACCGTCTGCCGCCCGCGCCACAGGCGCCGGCGCCAAGATGTATAAGATCACCAAATCCGCTGAAAACTTGTGTGCGGGAGTTATTTGACATCCTGATTACGAATATACATTCATTCTTGGCGCTCGCGCTGATGGAGGACACTACGATCATCTGCGCTTTGCTCACGCTGAGCCTGACCTGAAGGGGACTGCTCCTGGGCTCAGCCTTAGCACAGCGCTAAACGGGGCTGGTATAAGAAAATGAATGTCATTATTATGAAATATTTGTGATCAGGGCATCAAGCAATCCTACTATGCAAGTTTATCGATTCCGATGAAAAAGGATGCAGCGCCAAATTCACGCTTTATAGCGCCAAATGGCGCCAGGGCTTAAAATGAATATCGTATTCGTGATCAGGATAACGAATAATTTCATTGTGCAGGTTCCTACCGATTTTGGTGGGAAAAGTGGCAGCTCCAAATAGCGTCAACATCCAAAACGTAATGTCTACTCGTGATAAGTACTTCGACCCACCCTTATGGGCAAAGTTCCACCACAATTTTTTTAGTTTTGGAGATAGTAGTAGATGAATAGTGCCCACCGCTCTATTCCGTCCTTTCATTGGATCTCTGGTCTAGGTAGTTATGCCCGCAACGTTGGAAACAGCAGGACCAAACCCTACAAATTATACACGAGCGTCGCAAATTGAAAAAAAACGCAAATAAGCGACAAACTTACACAGGAAAACATTCCAGCAAGTTCTCAAAACTTTATTGGCACCTTGACAGAAATAAAGCCAAGTAACCAAGAAATATTCATATCTAATTCATGATATTATGAACATCGCGTTCAATGCTGGCCAGTTGACCCGATTCAACGTTTTGGCGTCAAATCAGTTAGTTTACGGCAGGCTGCGTACAACACAGTTTATTCACGTCTTTATTTAAAAGAACTCGATAATTTACAATGTGTTTCTCATATGCGAAAGCAGTGCGATACCATTCCCCAATAATTACTGCACTTGAGGAGTTCAGTCGTATTGTGCATTGAGACAATTTTGTGAGGGCATCCAAGGCATCTGGAACCCTTCTTTTATGATTAATGTTCAGTAGGAGTTATATCCACTTAGTTGCTCGCAATCGTTTCTTTGCAACTGCCAGTACAGGCTACCATCCGGCATAAAAAAATACAAAGAAATGGCATAAAAGCGGATTCTGTAAGGTTTTGTAACTTCGTGCAACGTTAAGAGTACCGTACGAACTATTGCACCGAAATTCCTCACGATGTTGGAATAGCACCAAGCTCATTTTTTCAAATGGATTATACCGGCGGGATACTGTCTTTTGAGATAAGTGTGACCACATCTTTGTCTAGCCCAGGACTGGCGAAGAGAATAACCCTGGGGAAACGCAATCTACTTCATGCTTAAATGAAGGGCGCAGCCACGCCCTCCCAACCCGGTGGTA